GTTCGCGCTCATGGCGATACAGTTCGAACAATGCGGCGCTTTGAAAACCGTGTCACGCTTAGGCGCGAATTCTTCCTCTTTCCCATGCATCCGCGAGAAGCTATACTGCCGTATCCCACTCTTTCTCCGGAGCGACTGCTGTAGCGCGACTGCTGTAGCACGAAAGTAATTTCGCGCTTTGACGTGACGCGACCCGCACACGTACAGGCGTAGTTAATAATTTGTTACGTCGAAATAATCAACTCTGTTATTTTTCGCTCTCTCTTTCTTTCCTCCTGCCTTCCTTTTACTTTGTTTTCGTCATTTTGCAGAAGTTGCAAGTTAATGAACTGTCGCGACGCACTAAAAGAGAAACCCAAAAGGTAACGTAGCGCGGCGCTGCTTTGAAAAATTTTGTACGCCCCCTGTTTTCTGCTTTTTCCTGTTTCGTAGAAGGGACGTCGTAATAATGATGACCTACATTAATAAAAGTTCCCCGCGAGAAAAAAAGAAGGTAAATATATTAAATAGTAAAAAAATGAAATGTGTCTAAATGTTCAAACAAGAACGGAGAGAGCGAGGAAAGAAATAGAAATATGTGCCACGAATTTATTTTACGGTGTCGTGCGCTTTTTCTCTTCTTCTTCTTCTTTTTACGACGATGTCAGTTTACAGAGAGTCGTTTCCGCAATCTAATATAAATATTCAAAGCCACGCGCGTGTTTTATTCTACGTAAAAGTATCCCTTTTCGTTGTTTCTTTGGCGGATCTATCGCGACTCCATCCGCGCTCCGTTCTTTTATTCGTCCAGCGTCTGAAAGGCCGCGGTTTTTTTACACGTCGTTTGAGCGTATCTACTCGCTTGTGTTACTGTCGTGTGCACTTTTTATTTCTTTTTTCTCTCCTTTTTTTTATATCGCGGCTGTTCATCCTCCTCGTCGTAGTCACGGAGCGGCTGACCGAGCGAGTCCCTGCATCCGCTTATCCTTTTCTGACGCGGCGAGCGCGCCGCGCGCATTGATGAAAATCTCACTTCAGACTCCGCGCGGCGTGCCGTAACGAGCGGTAGACTGGAAAATGCATGACGCTATTTTTGCACACACCCTACGTCTTGCGTGTATTTCCATATTTCCACCGGGAAACCTCGCCTCCCTTCCCCAACACGTTCTCAGACTCAACTTGCTCTTTCTCATCGCTGATGAGTCGCACTCGGCAATCGCGTATGTAGAGACGTAGCGCGCGCGCGTGTGTGTGTGTGTGAACAGGTGAGTATAAACAGGATAAGTGAAAACGATCCTTATCGTACTTGAAAATTGATCGACCGATGCTGAGAATTTTAATTAAAAGCGTTAGGGATCGTGTTTACGTATTGCAGATGCCTGTTGAAAGCTTTCGACGCAGAGAGCGCGCACATCCACATACGTCTCTTCCGCGTTTCCTTTTTTGCAATGCTCGTTGATTAATAAAATACCTGGCATTATAGTCCCGCCTGAAAATACCGACAACATAATACGTGCAAAAAGTCCGAGTATGACATAGCGAATCTACGATTAATGTGAAAGGTCAAACGTCGCGATGAATTGAAAAAGAAAGGAAAAAACGCTGAGGAATGTTGGAAACATTCCTTGAATGCAAAATTATTAAATAATGGAAATTATAAAACGGATTGCAAGAAAATTGTCAATATATTTCGTGCCTCTCTCTTTCTCTCCTCTCTCTTTTCCTTCCTCTCTTCTCTCTCTATCTTTCTCTCTGTTTTCTGCAGATCGTAAAACATCGCAAACATTTAGGAGGCCTCGAGCGTTAGCGTATATGTAATATATTTTTATTAACATTTTTTTCTTGTTTGGAATTTCCTCTTGAATCTCTTTCGCGTATTTTTTCCCCATTGCGTGGAAACTTTGGTGCACAAACTACTGAAGCGGCAGAGCGGTTCTGTGTACGTCCGAAAAAAGGAAAAGACAGAAGGGAAAAACGATTTCTCTCATGATAGACGTTGCCGGGCCCATCGTCGTGTCGCGCTACTTTTCCGCGTGCGCGGATAAGTAAACGAAAGGAATAAAATTTCTAACTGCGCGAGTTTCTTATCCCGCGTCTGCCATTGTTTTCCGGATATTACGAGACGTGCATGCCGGCACATTCTTATGCGCGCATTTTTATTTCCCACCGACTCTTTTTCACGTGTCATCGCATTCATCGCGCGTAAAAAATTCTCTACTTAATGCTGTCTCTCCCATGTTTGAATCAATATGAATGTTTTTTCGTAATATTTTTTGATGTTTCCGTTTCTCTCCTTCTCTCTCTTTCTGCAAAATTGCATGCATGCACGAAGAATATTTGGTCAATTGACTGGAATATATACAAGTAAAATTATTTACAATGGAAAATTAATTACAATTCGAAATTCTCATATATTAAAAAATAGTTCGCGCGGTAAAATATATAATGAATCTTAATATTGATTATTATTAATGATAAAATTTTTGGTGCTCTCCAATTTGCGAGATTTGCTGTTTAATTTCACTGATTGCTGAAATTGAATCAGCTATATCGTCGTATTCTTTCTTCTATTTCATAAAATTTTTCTTTAATAACATACACACACGAAATCTATTTGATTTTTTTTTACGTACGTATGCAATTTTTCGCACTTTTCTACTGTTGTGGAAAACATTTAATTGGAATAATTATCGATACGCTGACACGCGGATCGATTTCGAAACCTAAGACAAGGTGATAGTAACTCCAATCTTAGATCGATAATATATCGCGGCGCGCAATCGCTTGTATAAAATAATGCGCATAATTTGCACTCCACCGCGGTAATTTCCGAGTAAGTAATTATCAGGGGATCACTCGATATCGCCTTCTCCAGATGGCATTAATACTTTATGAACGTGATGCACTCTAACGCAACCTCTACAGCGAAATGTAAATTCGAGCGTTAACTTTTCGAGCGCCTCATTCAAGTTTCACTTCCGATTAATCTTGCGAGCTTTTACCGTTAACAGCCTCGCTATACGTGGAAAATTATTTTCCTTTTACTGTGACTCCTTTCCAATTTCTCCTTCTCTTTCTCTCTTTTTATGTTGAAAGGATAAACGCGCGGAGATATTTGCGAGCGCACCGAATGTTCGTCGCGGACCATCGCAATTATACGTCACGAACGACGGCATTATCGATGTCTCCGTCGCGGGCACGTTGAAAAGGTATTTGCGAACTTCGCCGATGCACATCTCCCGGGCGCGCATGTGTCGTTGAAGCTTTATTCATACGGTGGCGGCACCTCATAATTCTGCGAAATTTGAAAGCTCCCTTTGTGAGCCGCAATGGAGGCATTATAATGCCTCATCGTTCAATACACAGAAAGAAGCATCTCACAGCACTTTTTAACGGCGGCAACGCGCCTCTAGGCATTTATCAAGCTCCTTGTCTCTGCGCATTATTATGCCGCTCACGTGACAGAATATATCTGCCGTCTTATCTAGCCTACTTTACACGTTCGTTATTGCTAGGTATTCTTCCTTCTTACGTGACGAAGCAATCAACAGTGTTGCCGATAATGCGTCTAATTTGCGACTCTATGCAATACAGTTCGAGGCAATTGTTTTTCATCGTTTGTTATGTTTTACTGAAAGCTCGACGATATATTTAATCTTTTCTCTGTCTATCACGTATGATGCACTGACATCTTTGCGTAAAACATAAGTGTATCATATATGATACATTTTTCTTTTTACAAATAACATATTTTTTTAAAGATAAAAACCATTATTTGTTCTACTTAAAATATTTCAAATGAGAGAAAAGATATTTTTGTAATATAAAAATTTCAATGTTCAGGTTTTTTATTTTTCATAAGTTTTTCAACTAGATTTTATGTTTATAATATTTCTAAAAAAATATTTCTAAGAGAGAAAACAATGAAAATTGGTTCGACAGAGGAAAAATTTAAAATATTCTGCGTAGTTGTTATCAATTGAAATATTTTGAACGATTGAAAAGAAAGTAGACAGATAAAGGTAGCGCAGTGACAATAATATCCGTGCACTCTTCCACAAAATAACGGCTCGAGTACCTGATTTCCGTTGATTACACAAAAGTTTATCTGACGATTGGATTATCAAAGATATGGTAAATAAATGTAATTCGAGACATCGTTCACTTTATTTCATTGACTCTATTAGCCGTATAACCGATTTTCCAAATATAACTAATTATACTTTGTACTTTACGTCATGAGATACTGTAGTATCATAGTGACAGTCACCGGTAAAACGTGGCAGTCACGCATTCAACATGCAAATAAATCTGCGAAATTACTCTTCGTGTATGTTTCACAATAGAAAGTAACGCGTTACAAAATTACAAATATTCCCAGTAAAGGAACATTAATTGACAGAAGATTATTGGAATGATATTTAGTGGAGTGTAACGTTTAAAGGTTTGGTTTTGCAATATTTGGAAAGATATTCGCGATAGTATTTTGAGAATATTTGTAAAATATTAAGTGAGAATGTTTATATATATAAGAAATACATATGAAACAATATTGAAAATCCTTCCTCAACGAGATGAAGATTCGTTTGTCGTTACACACACAGAAAAATATCGTTTTACTGCGAAATATCGTTTTACTGCGATTATTCGTTTACCTCCCTTGTTTTAACCAATGGTTATGTTCAATAAAAAATATTTTCTTGATAAATAGTATTAAAATGTACTCATCATAATTTTAGAAAAACTGTTTGCACTCGAAAAAGAAAAAAAAGGAACACATTCTCATTATAAGAATGTTATAAAACTTTCTCGAAAAAAAAGTCGGTTCGACTGTGTGTAGTCAGCAAACCGAGTTTTTGTTACAACTTATTAATATTCTTGATCGAAATGCTAAACTCACTAGAATTCAGAATAAATGTGATGTTTATGATGAAATTATGATAGATTTACGGACAGATATAAACTTATGAAATATTTGAAACAAAATAACATTTACTCTGTTTTTTTCTGCGCGTACTCACCTTTATCGAGCGACCTGGCTAATAGGATCGTCGGCAGGATCAGGAAGACCATGTACCACGAGAGCCGGTCCCGCATCCTCGCGAGGTTCCAAGTCCTCCTAGAAAAAAAAAGAACATTCGGTTTGCGTCACGGTTTTCGACTTACGACACGCCGCCGCGCTTGCTTTTGCCACGCGGCGGGTGTACGTTTACGACGTACTCAGAATGGAATTTCATACGTTGCGCGCGCGCGCGGAGAGAATTCGGTTTATCACGCCCCGAAAAATCTCGCGATGCGATAGAGAAAACGTGATTTTCACTCTTGTACGGGCGCGCGCGTCTGCAAAAACGTAAGGACGTAATTCGCGTGTGAATATCGTTCACGAGCGTTTGCGCGCTGCGTGAAATATCGGCGCTAGTCTAGCGCCGTATTTATCAGATTTCCAATCACCGAGTTTATTTTACGTTTTACAGCGAAAAGCGCCTGTCCTCCATTAATATCCGTTTACCCGATTCCAGCAACGGGCGATATAACGCGACTCGTAATATGGGTCGGTATTGAGCTTTCTCCGTTTCTGCCTTTCCGACATGTTTGACGTGGCCGGTTGTCAGAATGCAGAATGGCTAGATCTTGAGATGGTATCGAACATAAAATGTTAAAAAGAAAAAAGAAGAAAGGAAAAGCTGTTCCTCCGCTCGAGCGCGCGAGGAAGAAGCGTTGACTGCCAGCCGTTGTCTTGAAATTTATTCGACACAAACGACTTGAATTATAAAAGCGGTCAGTCCGCTGCGCGTCCAAAGTTCTAAAACGAGAAAACAAGAAAATAAAATTCGGGAGTTGCGGCAACAATGTTGTGGACGTCGAGCGGCATATATATGTCGGGACACATGATAAAGAATGCAATTCGGTCTGTAATTGAAGAGACAGACGCGGCTGAAAAGCTAAATTAAAGCTAAACGCGAAGGGAAAGCTAAATTAAAGCTACCGATAGCGCGGAACACACGGACGAATTTCAACCAACACGCGCAACAATATCGCATACTCGCGCGTCCGACTCACCGAAAACGAGCGCGCAACATCGCACGAAACGCACATGTCATGTGATGTTTGTTCCGGCGCGTGCAGCAATGCAGCAACGTTGCATCGGGATGCATCAGATCTCCGGATGAGCGCGATACCGCACGTTTTTCGAAGCGCAAAACAATTTCGGAGCGACACAGGGCGCCGCCGGCGAGAAGTTTCAACGCCATATGTATTCGCGCCGTGGACGACGCGACGAAAATAAGAGACGCGTTGTTGGGAAAGTACGGGATGGAAAATCGCCAGTGCGTCCCTGCTAATTTCGCGGATCGCGTCGGCGGAGTGTGTGCGCGTCGCTGACGTTTCGATTTTATCTCGTCGTCGTTACGCGCAGCAATGACGGCGGGATAAAATTCGGGCGTCAGTGTCATTTTGTGTCATGTCGATACGGCGAAAATTACGTGAACTTTGATCAGCCGCGATTGAGTGCGGCTTTAGTCTCTCTCTCCCTCTCTCGATTGTTATTTTAAAATATAATATAATTCAATAATATATGCGATTAAAATAAAACGATATAGAGCGATAAAATTATAGCCTCGAGGCTCCATCATTCGACGGCGTTAACGAGTGAGATTGCGTAAGGTTCCTTCAAGAATTGGCCAGAGTAACGTGTTATATTTCATAACGGAAAAGATTTAAACGCGTCGGATCGCATAACACTCCCCTGTCTGTCCGAGGGTTGCGTAACTCGCGCAATTACGACCCGCACGTGCTGATTAAACCGCGCACGGGAAGTTCGCGGGATTCGGGAAAACACGATCGTTTCTTGCAAACGTTACTCCCGCTGATTCCGGGCGCGTTAATTGGCCCGTTAAAGTTTCGCGCGCGCGAAACGCGCGGGAATGTGTGACACGCGACGCAAACGTATTCGAATAAATGGGTTACTCGAGGCGATGCGTGGCTACGAAAGAATTATTCATATTAACGTCAACTACCCCTCTGTTGTTTTCTGCTCGGTATAAACTAAGAGGCGTATAATTAAAGCGCGCTCATGCACGTGACCTCGTTTGATCACGTCTACCGCAAGTAGCACGTGAGTGACGATAAGCGGATAGTAACGAATGAGACGAAAATACGTACGAAAATAACGAAATATATATATACTGCGAGAGTTTCCTTCACCATATTAATAATTACGAAATATATTCACGAAAATGAAATCACGAATAATGGATGACAGGGGACGCTTTGAAGGATTTTATATGGATAATCGAGGTTTGCAAAGGACTTAATGAGAACTTGAATCACACTCGTGCGTGCTGCTAGCAAAATGCCGAAATTGCGGGTTTGAGAAGAACCACATAACGTCAACGCATTCGCTGGCATGGAAACCGTCCCCGCAAACTATTCTGCATTTTTTTACGTAATATAGTAAACAGACTTAATTTGTTTATGTGGACATAGAATGAAAAATTATCGCTGTCACACATATGCGATGCCGGGCTCTCGTGAGATAGTGCCTCACGCATGTATGACGCTGGTAATGAATGCATTAATGTAGTACTTTCACGTGCGCAATATCTCTTGAATGCTCATTTCTATCCATAAAAATGAATTTATTAATAACGTGCAGAAATGTACATTTTGAATCGATGGTACGTTTTTCAAATGAGAAAATCGGTGGACATGCTTTGTTCTAAAAAATTAAAATCTCGAAATCCAGAAACTGGAGTTTAGCTAAAACAGGATTAACCAAATATTTTATAATTGCAATCGAAAAATTTAATTGCCGCTTGTGTATTTTGTCTTTTCATTAATATAATACTCTTTTCATTAATACTTTACTTAATAGCAAGTGAGAAACATGCTAACGTCAACTCTAATATATCAAATATTTTTTTTAGTTTCAAGTACAAAAATAAGTTTTTTTTTCAGTATATTAAATGTTACGAAAACAGTAAATGATTTGTGGTATTGATATCTATTCATTCAGATATGCACTTGTTTTACTAAAAAAATAAGCAAATACGAATACACCCCCTAGCTGTACAACGAGACAACTCCAATATTTTAGTGATGGTATTCAAGTTTCGATATTACGACTTTTCAGGGAATTGTGTGTCTTAATCTTAAAATTTTGGCTCATTTTTTTCAGGATATTGCATGTAGACTAAAAAACTGACGATCCCTAGTAGAAATCTATGCAGTTTTACTAGACACCTAATTAGTTACTGTCTAGTATTACTGTATTTCATAGTTGTATCGAAACTGTGCAAAAATTGGAAAGGAACTGAACATATTTTTATTAAGTTTTATATCGCATACACATGTGCATGATAAAAATTATATTGTATAGAGACGATCTTAAAACTATGTAAAGAATAAGTGAACGCGTAATAAAACATAGAGCAAGGAAGAGGAAGTTGGAGGAAATCTGGACTTTAACAAAACAACACGCTATAGCAGAAGTGACAAGTAAGGTTAGAGTTGAAAGTGAGCAAACGATAAATGGACTATATATTAATGATATAGAATTGCATTGCGACAAAAACACATTAGACTATCTTAGAAAGCACCTTAGATTTCCTGTACAATTGTGGACATAAAGATTGTCCGACTTTTTGTTGGCAACGTAACCTAAAAATTATCCAATGAAAGAATAATACCTAAGAAATGCGTTTCTTATATTGGAATATTCGGTTATATTCTGAAATTTATTTAAAAAAATCAGATATTCTTTATGTCTACGACTGTAGTGACTTTTATTAAAAATTAAAATTGTACAATAAGCAAGCATGCACGCAATATCCATTATTACTAGCACAAAACTGTGCATTTTATGAGCAATAAATTTGCTTATTAATCGACTGAATAGTTTCTTTGTCCAATTACTGCTCAGTTCTTGGTTAATAAAAGTTCAGATATTGCGCATTTTTTGTGCACAGTAATTGCAGACAAAGCGTTACATTTTGATTGGGATCCCAACAGTTTGATTCGTCAGTTAAACAAGTCTGGGCAAACGTTAATATAACTGTTCAGTAACTGCTTACAAACTGCGTGAAATTTCTACCAGGAATGTTAAGAATAGGAAATGGTTGTAAAAAAGACGATGTTTTTTCAACAACCCTCACGATTTATTTCGGTTGAAAGGGCTCAAGACGCAAGTAGCATGTTCTTATTAAAAGCGTAATTGCGATGAATTCGCTACTTATCCAAGTGTAACCGACGTGTCGTGAACGCCGCCGCATTCACCGATTGCGTTCGGCGCATGGAAACCGGCTCTGTGCGAGTAAAAGTTCAAAATATCTCCCACCATCCAATTCGCCGGTCGGCTTCGGCGGGCCAATAAACGAATAAATTTTTATCTGGCGCGATTAAATTCCCCCGGGAACGCGCGCTCGGAGGCCATCCGAGGAACACCACCGAAAAAGTTTCCACATTCGAATCCAGGATGGCGAACGTCTCCGCTCCATCCTTACTCTATTTTACGTCGCCCAGGATCATTGACACGTTTACTTTCAGAATTATCTTCGCGCCCGCTTGGGCGATTTGGACCCGCGCGACGTGCGATTTTATTCGCAAAGTGCGCGCGCGCGCGTGGTGAAAGAGATAGAGACAGAGAGAGAGAGAGAGAGAGAGAGAGAGAGAGAGAGAGAGAGAGAGAGAGAGAGAGAGAGAGAGAGAGAGAG